TCAAACTGTAGCCAGATTCCTAAAACCAGCAATGACTTCTCTGCTACACAAGTCTATGAATGTTTTCTTACTAACCAATTTTCAATAGCTCTATAAATACTCATTGTCTTTCATGACTGATTTATTGCAGATGACAGCTATTTCCTGACTCAAACCTCTCACTGTCAGCATAATCTTGTGCTGGAAATAATTTAAATGTATTGGAATAAGCTGTATAATACCATCTAATTCCCATCCCATTCAACCTGCTCTACTGTAACTCACAGACAAAAATCATTATTTTAAACTATTTTTCCTAAAAGTTTTCTCAAAATATACAGAAGGTATGAGAATCATGGTAAAATTCAGTGCTGGAAGGAAAAGGTATTAAGATGAAAGTATAAATCAAAGTTAAAAGAAAAACAGAGCAGGTAATAAAAAGCATAGAGAAAATCCAAGCCCTTAAAAGAAGAAATAAATTTTTAAGAAACAGAAGTAAAAAATTAACACAGAAGACAAAGCAAAACTATCCCATATAAAGAGGTATTTATGTTCAAAGATAAGGGTAGAAATCAATGATATGTATTTATTAAAAGTTTGTTAAATACATGGGAATAATTTCTTGAGGCAGGAAAGAAGGACAGCTTTCCCTAATAATTTACTAATAGTAAAATGATATACACTATAAGAACTCTTTAGTACTACTATAAAATGAAATTTTGAGGGTGGGAAGGGTATAGAAGGCAGCAACAATATCTCAAAGATTGTAATAAGTTGGCTGCCTTCTTTGCTCTGTTTTTTTTCAGATTGCTGGGGAGGAAATGCATCTAGACAGAAGAACATTATTTTGGTTTAAACTAACACTTGTGAGACTCTGATAAGTCACCACATCCCATCAACCACTATAGTCTATAATACTTATATTAACTTAACATTTAACAGGCTCGAGGCTACTCTGGGGTACACTAGCAGAAAATACTTGATTACTTTACCAGATTTACCTTATTACAAGTGTTCAGAGGATGAAACAAGATTCCAAAGCTATGGACAACGACCTATACATAAAAGGTAATCATGCTGGGAACAGTGTTGGGCACGGGAAAATAGCATGTCTCCTAATTTGTTCAGTTATTTTATTTGAAAGGCTTTGCACATATCTTTGCATACCACAAACAAGAAAACAAGTTATCATAAATTAGAGAATTAAAAATAAAACACATTGATACAATATCTGATATATGAAAGATCTTGAGAAGTCATATTTGGTAGTACATTTCAAACACAATAGGCAAAAGTTTGCTATTTTGAAAAAGAATGAGAAAAAAGAGTGAAAGAGATTTTATGTGTTTCTTCTGTCCCAAATCTAGTTCTTGTGCTTGCTATTTTGGCTGCTATAATTTAATTAAAATGTATATAATCTTCTAAAAATTTCTGGTATAATGCTATTCAAAAAATACCAAGATAATATTTTCACATATGTGAGATTTTTACACATGATATAATATGGAAGCCTATCATTTCAAAATCAGGCTTCCCTTTTACAGACTGGTTTCTGACATAGACTATTTGTTTTTAAAAGATATTTCCTTTAAACAGACTAGTAAACTATCAGATCACTACATTTCATAGTCACAGCTGATAGTATCAGAACCTAGAAACTGAATTGGCAGTCGCAATGATTAAATCTAGACATAACAGAAAAAACAAAATTAAGACCCCAGGAAAAGGCTAAGAGAAGGTACCTCTATCTGGGCATTTCTGACAAGTTTGTCATAATGTCAAAATAACAATACTTTGTAAATAACATTAATTGTATGTAATGTTTCTGCCTTACAAATGACCTAGAGATTGACTTATAACTTCTGTTAATTTTTATAAAAGATAATTCTTTCCAACCAGTATTTAGTTGACAAGAATAGCGACCATGGAACTTCGTTCAAATAGGGTTGTTCATAAAATAAATTCGTTTCTATTATTTCTAGAATACTTTTTTCTCTCAAAAGACAAAGAAGGGACTGAGCAGCTATAAAATGCCCACTTTTCTTGTGAGCAAATAAAAACTGACAATGCTGAACAAACATATTCATTTGGAAAATAAAACGTCAATTGGAAGAAGTTTCTGGTACAAGATGAGGCTAAATACAAATATCACAATATTTAAATAGTTAATGCCCAGATTAGAAGTAACCTAATAAAGGCTGAATAATGATTTAGTGCCCTGAAACTATGTATGGAAAGAATCTTGACTGAATCTGTAGCACCACCCTGTCACTATCAAATACAATAATAAATGAACACTCACTGGATCTGAAAGCTCAAGTTGTTGCAGTAAATAGTCACTGACAGAAAATGTATCAGTCAAGTACTTAGCTCACAAATTACTAAAGGCAAAACACTCAAAAAGTCTTGGAAAAACCTCTATAAGATGTGACATGCTATGAAAACGAAGGATATTTCCATGTTGCCATAAATTACATCTGTGTTCTTTAAAACACAGCACCCGCTCTGAGTTATCAGGACATAAATTGTTCTCAAAGGTCCAGAAGTTGCTGAATGACACACCTGAACTTAGATCACTGCAATGAATAGATTCTGAGGCTTCTGCCCAGAGTCATAATTCTGAACTATTGTCATCCAAGATAATGCCACTACCATATCTGAAAAAGGTGCTCCTGACTGAACTGTAATAATACAAGTAGCAGCAGGCACAGTCACTCAAGGGCGACTGGACTAGGGAGAATAATCAGGGATTACTGTTAAATCTTTTGACAATTTATTTCTGATGCCCTTCCTTATTCTCAACTCACAAGTCAGTAAGCCAAGGTAGAGAAATGTTTCCATAAAGTTAGGGCAAGGTAACATTACTAAAAGAGGAAGTTATTTGAGGAGGAAGTTAACATTATGAAGAAACTAGTTTTTAATGAAACACATTAACCAAATTAAATACTATGACACTCAATTATATCCTTTACACCAATTAAGTATATAACCAACAAGATTTCATTTTCAAATAATATTTTTGTCCACCAGTCATTATTCCCAACTAGTAATTCTGACATTCACAATCTTTCTTGGAATTTATTTGTAATAACCAAGCATAGTTAAAATTTCCAGTCTTCTGAGGTAATTATTTACAATCTGCGAAAAACAAAGTAGAAGCAACTCTCTGTATGATACAGAGAAATGCTAAATGATTAATGATCAAATCAATGATTTAAAATGTTTCATTTGTAAGTTCAGAAAAGGAATATGAAAGAATGGAGAAATCATGGCTAACATAACAAGGAGATAGTTGGGTTTCACACAATTAAGACTATATAGTAAGTGAAATTCAGAAAGAAGCAAATATTTTCTTCTAGCATACTTCCTTTTGGCCTTTGAATCAATCATTTGCTGAGAATTTATAATTTATCTGGTTTTGTCTGTTTTCTACCATTTCCCCATTTGTCTTTCCAGAAGTGTCTCTTTTTTCTCCATTGATTAGATTTTTCTGGGCTAAATTAACTAATTTCAAATCTAAGCATTTAAAAAGTAATGTTATCTCATTACTTCTATATTAAAATGAAACAAAATACAAAAATCTTAACTTCAGTGCAGATTATGAATTCAATCTCAAAAAATCTCTCAGGTTCTCATACAAGGACAATTTTAGGTGGTCAAGAATATTTTCACAGGTTTGACATTATTTCTCTCGAAACTTTATAATAAAGAACAAACATTATATTTTTTAAATTCATTACCTAAAAGTGGTTAGCCTATTTAACCTTGTGGAATTTATGTCAAGTATCTTGCCATCTTGAAAGATATCTCACAAACTAAAGTCTGAGGATTTTCTCAACTGGCAACTTCAGGAGATAAAACTGAGCTAGAAATCTAGTATGCCAGATTCAAGCATGTTCAAAAGAGTACACCAAATCTATCATGTAATGTCAGTTTATTACCTCTGTGTTTTCTGAAAGTACATTTACAAAAGAAGATCTATTATTGCAATAACACATACAGTAACGTGTATGCCAAGTCAAGAATAAATTATTTTCAAGATGAATGAATATACAAAATATACATATGTACACATACATATATGTATATATACATGCGTACGTATGTGTGTGTTTGTGTATATATACATTTGCCATAAGCAACTGACCTCTGTGAGCATTTTGATAGTCTTCAGGAAGATAAAATCTATACTATGTACAATTCATTAAAATTTAACATTAACCAACATTTTAGTATCTATAGTATGATAAGATAATCCTAAACACTTCAAATACCCAACAAATTTTTTAAAATTTCAAACTGGACTGAATTATGCTCAGCATAGCTCTAGTGTTACGTGTATTTTATTATTTTTATGATGCTTTAAAAACTAGTAATTCATATTAGGCTTACATAATAACTCTTTAGAATGCTTCATTAACTAGTTCATTTTCTAACTACATGTAATGAAACAGCATATATTGTATTGGGAAAGCTAAAAAATGACCACTAATTACGTCAGGGCCATCAGTTTTAATTTAACCCCTTTAATGCTCGTATCTCTCCTTAGTATATAAGTAACTAACAAAGCTGCTGTAACATGTCTATTTCATACCTTCCTACATTGCATTTTGGCTCTGTTTCATAATTAGAGAATCTAACCCAGAAAAAAAATTGATTTAAAAAAAGCCCTAAAAACGCATATCATAAAACTTTATCATAAAACAGCTTTATAATCATTAGTCAAATTATATGTTTCCATTTACTGTGTATCTTTTTACACTGCATCTTATATAATGGACACCACTTCTATGTTTGTTTTCATGAAACTTTTACATTATTTGATGTATTCATTTTAAGAAACCTAAGAAGGAAACAACCGAGCTTGCTTTATTGAGGCCCCAAATATATTTATTATCATGGTTATCATAATGATGTTATTTAGTAGCTTATATCTGTAATGAAAAAGAAATTAAAGTTTAATGACTATTAAAATGCTATTTCAGATTACTTTTTAAACTTGAACATATTCCTTAGCTTACCTGTTACATGTAACAAACTAGCTTCTACTCTGTGGGGAATTCTTGATGGAATTTTCATAGAAGCACGAATCTGGTAAAAACTAAAGCAAAATAAACAAGGAAGTTATTTCAAAACATACTTAAACATATGCAATTGGGACATAAAAAAATATGTCCCAACTTCCATATTCGTATGTATATTAAAATAATAAAGTTGGTCTAATTGTATCAGTCTCCCATAACATTTACTATTGTTGGAAAAAGAACATCAGGTTTAGGTATCAAATACAAGCATGGCATATAACCAAAAGGGAAACCTAGCATATATAAGGATAAATGAAAGAAACAGATACAACACATAATATTTCTTACTTTATATGAATGTGATAGCAAAGCGTGGAATTAGAAAAGCATTTAAGAGCTTCACTGTTTAACCTGGGTCACTTTTTTCTTTTAAAAAATAAAGAGATAATTACTTCTAAATATAATTTTGAGAAAATACAAGATCCATTATAAACAGTTTTTAAAAATGATTCATACCAAAAATGACAAAATAAAGATATCTATTTGTTTTAAAGAATTCCATTTTTTTCAAACAGAGCTATTTGTTTATGAACTTTTACTTGCTTAATTATTCTAAAAGATTTTTGAAATAGTATATATATATTTAAAAATCTACCAAACATTAGTAATAACTTTAAGAAAAAGATTATGACGTAAAAACTATGGTATGATTGTCTTTTAACATCATCACACTGCAAAACTGTGTATGTAATGGAGGATACATACACCTATACAAACACACAAAATTACCAAAAGCTCAATCAACATTATAAATTAGGGATAAGCTTAGATATATACTGAGGAAGTGAATATGTAATGTTTGCTTTTCTTCAATAATATTCTAGAGAGTAGTTTCAGATATTAAATTTGCAAATAAAAAATACAAAGATTAAAAAATATAAATATAATAATTACTATTATTCTAGGAAGGTGTCATCTTGGAAAGGATCTATCATCAGATCACAAAGAGTAAATGAAGGTCAGTCAAATTTGGAACATTAAAAGTCATAATATGGCTTTAAAGGGACAGGATAAAACTCCATAAAGTTAGATGACTTGTGGAGATTAAGATGAGGACTGCTTGAAAACATGAGAAAACTGAGAAAAAAATCAAAGTGGAATCAGCTGGAACCTTCTAGGAACTCTTCAACTTCTCATGTTGAGGGTTTTGACTAAATATTAAGCAAAATATTGCTATTTAAAAATATATAGGAATACGATATAAAAGTAAATTAATGCTAAACAGTGGTAGATGCTTCATTTTAAACTTCCTCAGTATAGAGACCATGTCTTATTCATGGGGTACATTCACAATCCTTGGTTTACACACAGTTAAGCGCTCAATACGTGTTTGTGGAAATTTGGAGACATTTAAACAAAACTCTACACTTATCTGACGTCATTTTTCACAGAAACAGAAAACACAATACTAAAATTTATATGGGATCACACAAAATACTCAGAATAGTGAAAGCAATCTTGAGCAAAAAGCATGAAGTGGCCAGATGTGGTGGCTCACACCTGTAATTCCAACACTGTGGGAGGCCAAGGCAGGTGGATTACTGAGGTCAGGAGTTCAAGACCAGCCTGGCCAACATGGCAAAACCCTGTCTCTACTAAAAAGACAAAAAATTAGCCAGGTGTGGCAGCATGTGCCTGTGGTCCTGGCTACTAGAAAGGCTGAGACATGAGAATTGCTTGAATCTGGGAGGCAGAGGTTGCAGTGAGCTGAGATCACACCATTGCACTCCATCTAGCCTGGGTGACAGAGTGAGACTGACTCAAAAAATAAAAAATAAACCAAAACAAACAAACAAACAAAAAGCTAAAAGGATCACACTCCCTGAGTTCAAAAAATATTGCCAAACAACTGTAATCAAAACAGCATGGTACTGGCATAAAAACAAAAACATCAACCAATGCAACAGGATAGAAATTCCAGAAATAAACCCACACATTTATGGTCCATTGGTTTTGACAAAGGTGCCAAGAACGCGCAATGAAGAAAGAACAGTTTCTTCAATAAATAGTGTGGGGAAAACTAGATATCCTCAGGCAAGAGAGTAAAATTAGAGCCTTATCTCACATCATATACAAAATCAACTTATATGGATTAAAGACTTATACATTAGACCTGAAACTATAAAACTACTAGAAGAAAACACAAGGGGAAAGTTCTATTACATTATTCTAAGCTATGGTTTCTTGCATATAACCCCCAAAGCATAGGCAACAAAAGCAAAAATAGACAAATAAGATTATGCTAAATTAAAAAGCTTCTGCAGAGCAAAAGAAACAAACAGAGTGAAGAAACAACCCACAGATTGGGAAAAAAATATTTGCAAACCAGATATCTGATAAGGAACTAATATCCAAAACACATAAAGAATTCAAACAACTCAACTTCAAGAAACAAATAACTGAACTAGAAAATGGGCAAAGTGCATGAATAAACATTTCTCAAAAGAAGACATATGAATGGCTAACAGATATGTAAAAAAATGCTCAATATCTCTATTTATCAGGGAAATGCAAATCAACACCATAGAATCAATCACCCACACCTGTTAGAGTGGCTATTATCAAAAAGTCAACAGCAGAAAAGATAGTGTTGGTGAGGATATGGAAAAAAAGGAACCACTGCACACTGTTGGTGAGAATGTAAATTAGCATAGCCATTATGGTAGACATTATAGAGGCTTCTCAAAAAACTAAAAGTAGAGTTACCATATGATCCAGCAATTCCACTACTGGGTATATATTTAAAAAACTGAAATCAGTATTATCAGAAAGCTGCCCTCCCATATTCAGGGCAGTATTATTCACAATAGCTAAGATAATGGAAGCAACCTTGGTATTTATCAATGGATGACTAGATAATGAATGGCAAATGTAGTACACATGCACAACAGAATGCTATGTAGCCTTAAAAAGTAAGAAAATTCTGTCATTTGCAACAACATGAATAAACCTAAAAGACATTATGCAACGTTAAATAAACCAGGCACAGAAAGACAATGTGTGATGTCACTTATATGAGAATCTAAAAATGTTGAACTCACAGAAGCAGAGACTAGAATGGTATTTACCAGAGGCTGGGAGTTGGGGGTTGGGAAAAGAGGAGATGTTACTCAAAGGGTACAAAGATGAAGTTGGACATGAGTAATGAGTTTTAGTATCTACTGTACTTCATGGTGACCACAGTTAATAATAATGTATCGTATATCTCAAAATCCCTAAAAGGATAGATTTAAAATGTTCTCACTACAAAAAAAAAAAAAAAAATTCTGATTCTGCAGAATATTTTTAGATGCTATGTCAATAAAGTGTTAAAAAATTTTTTAATCTCCACATTTAATGTATACTACTAGAACACCATATGGCAATTTATATTCCCTGAATACCATTTATTCATCACCTATTGAAGACCTATGTGATAGGTTTTAGAAACACAGGGAGAGAAACACTAAAAGCAAATACACACATTATTTTAAATAAAGTTCCTCCAATATTTATGAAAGCAGTCTATTACTGTAAATACATTTTTAATTAAAATTATTGCTACTTTAATTTTTTTAATGAAGAAATTTTTTTTCTATTATTCTTTCTGTTGTTGCGACAGGGTCTCAAAGCAGTGCTGCAACCATGGCTCACTGCAGTCTCAACCTCCCAGGCTTAAGCAATCCTCCCATCTCAGCCTCCCGAATAGCTGGAACCACAGGCATGCCTTTTAAAAAATTTTTTTTTAAGACAGAGCCTTGCTCTGTCACCCAGGTGACAACCCAGGAGTAATCTCTGCTCACTGCAATCTCGGCCTCCTTCAAACGATTCTGATACCTCAGCCTCTGTTGTAGCTGGGATTACAGGCATATGCCACCAAGCCCGCCTAATTTTTGTATTTTTAGCAGAGACAGGGTTTCACCATATTGGACAGGCTAGTCTCAAACTCCTGACCTCAAGCAATCCACCCGCCTCCCGCCCAAATCACTGGGATTACAGGTGTGAGCCACCACACTCAGCCCCAAATTTTAAAATGTGGATAAGTTAACTATTTTTAAAACTAAAATATGAAGTAAGAGATTTAAAAAATTCAAAAATCAATGAATAAAACAATTCCATTTTAAGAGCTGTGGTGGGCTGGGTTATTCAGAACAACCTCTTGCTAAAAAACAACGTCGGGTAAAGTATAAAAAGTATACCTATAAAATTACTGAAGAGCTGACAAGATAGTATGGAATTACCAAGGAAAATTTAAAGGAAAGCAAAATCATAAGGAATTGGGCAAAGTAATGAAGCTGGAATTTATCAACAGATGGTTCTGAGACCATCTGTTGATATATTCCAGCAAACCTTAATTGAGAAGAAAATTGAGATGAAAAAGACCAATTAACCAATAGAAGAATGGAAAAAAGGTATGACTAAACAGTTTATAGAAAAAGAAATGCAAATGACTCTAAATATACAAAAGTTCAATTTCACTTATAATTTTAAAAACTATACATTTTCACTGCAAAAATATATCCGTTCTTACCTATCAGACTGACAACATCAAACAACATGACAAAATATAGTCACTCTTCATTCAACAACAGGGATACATTCTGAGAAATGCATCCTTTGATTTTGTCACTGTGTGAACAACTTAGTGTACTTACACAAACCTGCCTTATACTACACACCTAGGCTATATCATATAGTCTATTGCTGCTAGGCTACAAATCGGCACATTACTGTATTGCATACTACAGCCAATTGTAACATAATAGCAGGTATCTGTGTATCTAAACATAGATAAAGTAATATATTGCACTATGAGGTTACCAAAGCTACTACATCCTTAGGTGATGGGAACTTTCCAGCTCCATTATGATCTTATGGGACTACTGTCATATTTGTGGTCTATCGCTGACCAAAATGTAGTTAAATGGCGCATGGGTGTAATATGTTGGCAAGCCTGTGGGCAAACAGGAATTCTACCACAGCACTAGTGAGAGCACAAAATGGCACAACCCCATATGGAATGTAATGCGGCAAAAAA